TTTCCTATATTTTAGTTTTTATTTTATTCTTGTATTTGTAAGCCGCCCGGAGTCCTATGGGATTGGGCGGCATATAAATTTTATTAAATTCAAATAAGTTTGGGAACCTCTGTGCTATCGTATGGCAAGATTAACAGGAATATCTTTACCTTTCCAGTTATAATGCTGTGCTGAGTGCCAGCTGGAATTAATCCTCTGAAAGGCTGACCCACTTGTGTCGGCCGACTCAGGCTTTGAGCCTGAGGTTGTGGTGGAGTGTGCTGTAATGGAGGTTGAAGGGATTGTGGAAGAGCAATTAAAGGCTGGCCTGCTGATCCAAAGTTGGGCAAAGAAAGTTGTGATCCTGGTATAGGTACTGTCATCTGGAATAAAATGGCAATGTGTTAGACAAGCAGAAACCTTATTAACTGCATTAAAATAAAATTGTCATGTTTGAACATGACAAGAAAATATAAATACATATATAGTACTATTAATATATCCTGTAACTAGTTTTTTATGAATCAGGGAAGAAAAAAAGTGTTTGTATTTCTATCCTTTAAGTTTGCAGAGAAAACTTTGAAATTCAACAGGCAGTAACTATTTTTCAGACCACAAGGTGGATTATGTTCATTACAAATGAAATTGTTCCATTATTCCCCCATATTATACTTAATCCCTTCTATGTTTGTGAATTCTGTAAATATACAGATTTTGGAAACAGAATGTCAGTTCATTAGTTGCAAATGTACTTTGGAAATTCTGAACTTGCAAAATCGGGGCAATTTTATTTACTATTGATAAAGAAGAATATTTGTAGCTAAGGGTTCCTTGGTGCTCTCTGTGCTTGGTTGTTTCCTGGCAGATGTTTCATTACCCAAACTACCATATTTTTCAGACTATAAGGCACACCGGAGTATATGACGCACCAACGTTTTGAAGAGGCAAATTTAAAAAAAGTAGGTAAGTAGATAAGAGGGATAGAGAAATACAGTAGATAGGAAGAGAATCAGTAGGTAGGTAGAGGGATAGAGAGAGAGAAATACAGTAAGTAGGTAGGGAGAAACAGTGTGTGTAGGTAGAGGGATAGAGAGAGAAATAGAAAGAGAGAGAAATACAGTAGATAGGAAGGGAGAGAGAGTAGGTAGGGAGGTAGATAGAGGGATAGAGAGAGAGAGAAATACAGTAAGTAGGGAGGGAGAGAAGGTAGGTAGATGTTTCCAGATATATTTATCCATGTGCTGGAGAAGGAAATCACTGACAAACTTTAAGATTTTGTTTCTGCTGGCATAGCACTTATTCAATGTAATTTTCATCAGTTAAAGAGCTTTCTGAAAGGAAAAAAGAGGGTTTGCACTCTGCAAACCTCCGAAAAATGGCCAGTTTTCATGAAAACAGGCCCNATTTGTCTGAAACAGTATAGGGTTTCCTGCCTAGGCAGGGGGTTGGACTAGAAGACCTCCAAGGTCCCTTCCAACTCTGCTATTGTATTGTATTGTATTGTATTGTATTGTATTGTAAGTACAGCATTCTCTCCTTTTGAGTTCCTTAAGGGTTGGTGACCTCAGAATCCAATGATATGTGGTTGCATCGTCTCTCAAGATGCCCTAAAATACCTTTATTACCTCAGTTTGGCTCTCTGAAAAAGTAAGTCCAGGTTCAGATATCTCAGTTACAATTTTAGTAGTGAAGCCAGTAGTAACAAAAACTAATTCAGTTTCTTTGCATTCCATATACTATTTTTATTCCTCTATCAGTGCACTTGCTTTCCTGCCCAGTTTTGTGCTCTGAATACCTTTAAAGAAATTATTATGGTTTTTCTTAAAATTCTTTGTCTTCTGAAATTATTTTTTGGCCTTATGCTAGCAGTCTGGAAGTAGCAGTTCTTTTTATCCGTGAAGGACAAGGGGAAATTATGTTAAAAATAAGTTGCATTAATTACAACAAATAAAGTCAAATATTTCTTTGAATTATCACCCTTATTCATCCAGAATTCTTATATTCCATTTCTGTTGTCAACATGGCATTGCTATATTAAAGTTTAATTCAATACTAAATTTCCCCTCTTTTCTCTCCATCATAATTTGTAAAGTTGACTTGTTTGAAAACACTTGTTTACCGGAAAGGGCTAGAAGTTGGGGTGGTGCTTCGTCCAGAAACTGGGGGTGTGCCTGGCTTATCAATGACACTTCCAAAAGCCTTTAAATCCATTTCTGACATCTGAAGAAAAACAGCAAGGTTATTTATAGTACAAAATAAAATACCGATAGGTTTATCAGGTCATATTCATTTAACTAGAGGAAGTTTATAAGTAATTTACTAAAAATGGCAATAAAAATTGGTGTACATCAATTACTCAAGCATTTCTGAACAAAGTACTCAAACATTTTATTTGGATACATCAGGTTGTTATACCAGATTCATGCAGTTCAAATAAATGAAAAAGTGATCACTTTTAAGTTATTTATTCAAAAATAAAACCACTGATTTTGCAGAAATGCAGTTTTTACTTTGTGTTTCTGTATCCGCCTTTCAATAAAATAATTTTTTGTGCAGTGGTAAAATTGATAGTGAGGATCTGAGAGAAAGTAAGCAACAACAAATTTTATTATGTGTGCAAGCCACCTAGAATGAACTTGGAGTACAACAATTATAATAGATAATGAATACTAACAAAGAATTACTTCAGTATTAATAAGCAGATAATACATTGTATTTTAATTCCCAATGACTGTTTCAATGTTGGCTATTCCCACCCTGCCCCTTCCTAAAAAAGTAAGAATCAAAAGCACATTTTCATCTATATCTTCAAATATATGGGTTGGAAACAAGAAAAAAAAAAACTTGAGTAAATATATGAGCAAAGTTCCTTTTCTGGGAATAACATGAAGACAAACATAATTTTAAATTATCTTTTGTATACTGTAAATTCCCTTGTATTCCCTCTTATTAAATCATACAAAGAATATCAATAGCTGACACACTCCTGACATAATCTATTCAAAGTTGAACTGTTTTAACTCTCACTCTTCAAGAGAATTTATAATGTTTCGCTCTTTTCACTGTAATCTATCGACTCAGAACAGATCAATTTTGGCTATGTAGTATCTGTAATAGGCTACTATGGAATTCATTAGACACACCAGAAGCTATGTGCCACAATCTCCCTCTTCTTAGAGCAGTGTTTCTCAACCTTGGCAACTTGAAGATGTCTGGACTTCAATTCCCAGAATTTCCCAGCCAGCATTTGCTGGCTGGGGAATTCTAGGACTTGAAGTCCAGACATCTTCAAGTTGCCAAGGTTGAGAAACACTGTCTTAGAGTCTTCATCCATATTTTAGACTAATAGAGTTAAGTTTTTAGGAAGGGACAGGAGGTGGGAATAACCAATGTTGAAACAGTCGTTGGGAATTAAAGTATAATACACTGTCTGCAGCACCCTAATGCAGAGTTTGAGAACTGCTAGAGTGCTGTGAGCTGATCTTTTTCCTATATTTTAGTTTTTATTTTATTCTTGTATTTGTAAGCCGCCCGGAGTCCTATGGGATTGGGCGGCATATAAATTTTATTAAATTCAAATAAGTTTGGGAACCTCTGTGCTATCGTATGGCAAGATTAACAGGAACATCTTTACCTTTCCAGTTATAATGCTGTGCTGAGTGCCAGCTGGAATTAATCCNGCTTCACAGTGCTTTACAGCCGTCTCTAAACCGAGTCAGCATATCACCGCCAACAATCTGGGTCCTCATTTTACCCACCTCTGAAGAATAGAAGGCTGAGTCAACCGTGAGCTTGGTGAGATTCAAACTGCCTAATTGCTGGCAGCTGGCAATCAGCAGAAGTAGTCTGCAGTGGTATTCTAACTACTGCACCACTGTGGCTCATATACCTGGTAATATAACAGCAAACTGGGCATTTATCTAACCGTGTTTTAGTGTCTGCAAAATAATATCGACTTTTCAAACAGATGTTCCTTTTCAATTGACAAATAGTTGAGTTTTTAGTTAACATCCGATATGGTTTCTTTACTAGAAAGGATATATCAAAATGCAATCTCAAGGGAACAATAACCATGTCTATTACTGGTATTTTCGATGTATCTATATCTCTGAGCCAGCCAATGCATTCATTCTTAATCCTTAAAATTCCTATATACAATGTAAGTTCTCTTTTTCTTCAAAAAATGAAAATCAAGGCAATTTACAAATCATGGATGAGCAATGTCTGTAGAATTTCACATTTTTACCACATCCTTCATCTGTTGGATGCTTAATAACATAGCAATGTTGCTGAATCAGGCCAAGCCCACCGCAGTGTGCTTTTTCATGGCTGCCAATCAAATGTTTCTGAGGTGCCCACAAGCAGGTAAGAGTCACGCAGTTCTGCCATTCTGTCTTGCAAGTAAAATTTGGAGTAGGCTATGCTTGAACGCAAAAGCAGCACCGAGCTGAAGATTGAGACTGAAATCTATTTTTTTATCTGAGCTTGTTATAAAGGCATCCAGGTTACCGGCCATCAATCTTGTACCAATAAATTCCACAGGCCAAAAATGAGTACCATGAAAAATACCTTGTCTTTCCTAAATCTCCTTCCTTTTTATTGAATGACTTGTAATCCTAATATCATACAGTTTTATATACCTTGATCATATTCACATTCTACACTCAGATGCCTTTTTTAAAAGCTGGAATCTCAGACGTCCTGTCCTTTCTCATAATATAGACCCCCAATAATTTTGGTTGCCTTTGAGCACCTTTTCAGTTTTATTGTATTTTTCTTCAAATGTGGCAATCAGAAATTCATTCAGTAAACTTAGAAATTCATTCAGTAAAACAGAAATTCATTCAGTAAACTGAAACTTAGATTTGCATAATGGCATTAGAATGTTGACAGCTTTATTTTCAATGCTACTCCTAATGATATCTAGCATTATCATTGGCCCTTTTTTTGCAACTACTGTATACTTGAGTTGACATCTTCACTGAGCTTTCCCATGAATATCGGATTCCACCAGTGCAAATGGAACTGAACTTGCTGTTTGGCTGACTAAGGAGATCCTTTTGGAGCTCTTTATTCACTTTGTTTTCTACTACATTAAGTCAAGAAAATTCCCAAACAATTTAAAAAGCACAAGTACCAATACAAATCCTTGAGAGACTCCACTCATTTCCCTCCACTAAGAGCTCACTTATTCCAACTATTTACTTTTTAAAAAAATCATTTTTCAATTCACAAAATAATAAGATCATCTTATCCCATGCCTACTAAATATATTCAGGAACTTTTGAAGAAAAATGTCAGATTTTTTTTTAAAAAAAATGATCAAATATACAATATTGACAGAATTACTTTGATCGACATTTCTCTTTACATTCTTAAAATG